TGACCTCAGGCTTCACTTGATCTTGAAAGCCTTCCTTGACAGCTCTTGCTCTAGATTTCAGTTTGTGGGCTCCTCCATCACGCTTCCATAGCACCAGTGAGCTTGCCCCTGCCTTAGCACATATCAACGATAATTTTTTTTTTACTAATAGAAAGTTATTTGAGAACAAAGACAAAGTTCATTTTCTCACTATTTTACCTCCACTACGAAATACAGTACTCAATGGATAAGTGCGCCTTGCAAGACTTCATTCTTGAATGGCAGATGGAGGAATCTGAATAGAGTAAGGGTATTTGCAGCTAAGAGTGTGAAGGCCATTTCCAGGGTACCAAGCAATAGACACTGATTTTTCATTGCCGCCAATGGGTAGAAGTAGATTGAAAATAAATTTTCACTTAATACAGAAGAACTTCAAACAATTAGAATACTCTGAAAATGTGGCATTCTGGCTTTAGAAATACAGGATTCTCTGTCATTGAAAATCTTCAGGTTGAGAAGCAGTTCCATGGAAAGCTAATAGGATACATTTTAAATGCCAGTAGATAAGTTGGTGGCATTTTTAGAGTTAAGAATGAGTTGAGAATGAATCTGAGATTCTGTGTAGGATAGGGAGAAAAAATTATTCAATAGATTATCAGTGTGTGTCAAGAGCTTTCTTAGGACTGAACAAAATATACAGCAATGTTCTTTATCCTTCTACATCCCTGCTTCTCTCTTACCCATCACACACACACGCACACACACGCACACACACACACACACACACACACACACACACACACACACACACAGTTATAAAACGAGAGGCGTAACAGGGAGACTATCATTTCTTCAGTCAAAACTCAGTCCTCTTGTTGGCTGTACTACCTGGAAACTTATTTTGTTGTATCTTTTTTGAGTTAATGGGAAAATTTAATGTCCACTGGAAAGTGGGAAGCTCAAAATAGTTGGCACATCCAGATTCATTACTGCTTTGTCTTTAGACAATAGAAAAGAGAAGGGGTTGTATAGCTGTGGACAGAAAAGATATGCTAGAAAGTCATGGATTCATAGGATACCCAAAGGCTCATACCTGAGAAGCAGCACCCAATAAGATTAGTAGATTTTGCTAAACAATGGGCTTAAGAAAAAAGCAAAACAAAACAAAACAAAACAGGAAGACAAGTCTCAGCACATGATATTTAGATTCTGCAATTCTTCAGGAAAGAGGATGAAAGTTCATGTTATCCTAGTTAAGGCTTCAACTGTCCCCTGGTATTAAGGAACCATTCTGGGTCTCTGCATTTTGTACATTAAAGAAAGATCTTGAAGTAGTTAAAGAGAAGCTGGTTTATTAGTTGTGATTCTCTTCTCCTGTTAGCACTGCCTTCTCTCACCACATTAATCTTTGGTGCACCACTAATGTCTTTTCTGCATTGAAGTCAGGAGGCCCAGCTGATGCAGGGGTAGTGAACTGTGAAATGTCTGGGTGGGTAATATACCGGCTCCGGCAGCCACTCTTCAGAGGGAAAAATAAATGGGCTCCTTTCTTGCTTGTTGGGAGTATTAAATGCTTGGATGCAGGTGCAGTGGATAGATTTGACACACAACAAATATTAAACAAATGCTAGTTGTTATTATTGTCATATTATCTTTAGGTACTGTCAAGTGTCAAGTCAAGGGCTTTACTCTCAAAGTTCTACTTCTAGGACAATAGGACTTCAGTGTGTAGTTTCAGGACTGAATTAGCCAAGACAAGGAGAAGCAGCAGCAGCATTTAAAGACCAGGTACAGATTTTGGAACCAAATACTTGCATTTGAATCTCGGTTCATCTGCTTATTTAGCTATGTGACCTCTGGCAACTTATTTGCCTTCTCTGACCTCAGGTAGTGATTGGATTAAGGTAAGATTTTGCATGTAATAAATCCAGCACAGTCCTTGGAGCACAGTTAAGTGCCTCTATTTGTAAAATAAATTAATAAATACATAGAAATAAAAATAAAGGTTGATAACGTCTCATTATTTTTGTACATTTACCTTGATTTGGGTTTCTTTCCTGTCAATCAGTTCTTGACATTGTACCCACACTCCATTTCGGAAGGGTTAGTCTGACCACAATGCTCCTCTACTTCGGGCTCCTGATTGGCTCTCTTTTATGTGCAGGATTATTAACAGCAGGCAGTGTTGACGGTCTTGCAAGTGTCATGACCTGTTGCCTCTAATCATTGTGGATGGATCTCTCCCCAGCCTCATAAACATTCCCCGATCTGCTTGGTGCCCAGCAAAGTTTCTCTGCAGGTGGTAAAGTTCTCTGTGCAGCTTTCTCCTCTCCAACATATAGCCACTTCCCAGACTGATTCTCCAACTCAAGGATACCACAAAGCTTTGCCTCGGTTTCACCCCCTTCTACCAGAGCCTGAAAATTTTCTCAGTGGAGCAGTGGTCCACCAAATTGTCTCCTGAGCCCTAGAAATCACTGCCTTTTATTATCTATCTCTGCTGTCTTAAAATCATTGTTTCATCTCTTCTGTCTGGTTTTGTCTTTGTTTCATTTGTGTTTGTAGTGGAGGTGTGACTCCACTCTGTGACCCTCCATCTTGGCTGGAAGCAGAAGCAGGGCAGCGCATTTATCATGATGCTGTCAGCTTGGACATTTGTGACCTTGGTTCACCAGCGAGAAGGGTCAAGACTTAGCCAATGCTTTATCAGATATAGATGAGCTGAAGTACCCGTCAGATGGCAACTTTCTGTACTATTTTGCCCTCTGCTTGGATTTCTGCTTTAGTTTCCCTCTCTTCACATTGACATTCCTAGTGGAAGCCTCTTGTTAAGCCATTGAGACAAATTCCTACTTTTTCCAGCCTGGCCCCACCTTGCACATAATGCCTGTATTCAGTATTTGTATTGGGCTGTTACCAGAGGCTTGGTTATTGCCTCATGCTGCTTGTGGTGCTCCCTATACAGCATATTAATTATTTCTGGATTGAGTAGTCCTGGATACTATTTATATACCCCTTTTTGAAGATCTATGGGTATCAATTCTTACCAAACCAAAATAAGGTTTATTACAGGCACACCTCATTTTATTGTACTTCACAGATTTTGCATTTTTTGCAAATTGAAGGTTTGTGGCCACCTTGTATCAAGCAAGTCTATCAGCACCATTTTTCCAACAGCATATGCATACTTCATGTCTCTGTCACCTTTTGGTAATTCTCACAGTATTTCCAACTTTTGCTTTATAATTATGTTTGTTATGGTGATTTGTGATCAATCATTATGACTGCTGAAAGCTCAGATGATCGTTAGCATTTTTTAGCAATGATGTATTTCTTCATTGAGGTTTGTACATTGATTTTTTAGATATAATGCTATTGCAAACTCAAGGGACTACAGTATACTGTAAACCTAACTTTTATATGCATTGGGAAACCAAAAAAATTCATCTGACTTGCTTTATTGCAGTATTTGCTTTCTTCCAGTTGTCTGGTCCCAAACCTGTGCTGAGGTTTGCCTACATAATGCTCTGGACCCCACTGCCCTGCCTGGCATATGATTGTGAGGCTCTAGCACACTTTGAAGTTCCAACTAAGGACACTAAGAAGCTAAATAGTAACAGCCATTTGTTTTGTCGCTGGAGGAAAATATTCATGTGCAGAAAAATACCCATCAAAATTTAGTAAGTGTCCTGTTATAGCTTCTTTTGCTGTCTCAATTTATAAGTCACAAAACAAACAAAAACAAGGCTGGCAAAGTTCAGTTAAATTTCTCCACATCACAGAGCTAGTTAGTGTTAAAGGTAGTACTCAGACTCAGGTCTCCTGCACCCTAATTGAAACTTATTTCCTGCTGGATCACAAACACTTAGGTTGTTCTTTTGGTGAGCTATTTACTATTAATACTGTTCCTGAATGAGGAATGCCCCTCCTCCATCAAAATCTAATTACTGTGGCCCTGTAATTATACCGTAAATCAGGGAAAATTTTTTAAAAGATTTTATAAGTTATGTTCACAAACCTCTCTAATTCCGTTGCCCCCTGTAACATGAAAATCTCCAAGGGAGCCACAGAGAAGTTCTTGGCTTCTATTCTTTATCATAACTCCTTTCTGATTTCTGAAGAGCTGTAATACTGCCACAAACTTTCAGGTATCACATTTCTGGCACTGCAGTTTTTAGAATCCCAAGGTACCTAATTTGTACATAGGAGAGAAGCTAGGTGACTTATACTATAAACCACTGCCCTGCAGAACACCGTTTGCCAGATTAGAGAAGATGGACCTACTGGGGATCCTTGCTTTCCCTTTTTCTCTCCACAGCAGTACAGTTTAGGATCCATCTATACATAAATACGGCGTCCCCAGAGTTGGTGTGATGGATAGAGGGAAGGAAAACCCAAGTCAGGGACATTACTTCCCTGAGATTATTAAAGAAGCTGCCTCCAACCCAAGGATAATAGGGCAGAGTCGGGCAGCGATGCTCCGTGAGTCCCCACCTGGATTGAACCCAGGTAGAATTCAAAGCAGAGCAAACACTGCTGTACTCCTGTTCGTTCCTGCCAACTCCAGCCTCACTCCCTGGAGAGCTCCGATTTGGAAAAAGTAGGGAGAGAATCCCCAGCATCTGAATGAGATGGAGACAGGTTTGGGCCTAAAACGTAAGTATTTCTTTCCGCAGCATTTTATAGCTCAGGATCATTATATTCAAGCGTCTCCATTTAATGCAGAAGTGCTCACACGATTCACAGAAGTCCCTAAATTCTCCACTTTGACAAACATTGCAATAACTTTAAGATGGTAGCGAGGGTGTGAGCAGGAATTGATAGCAAGCTGTATTAAATAAATAAGTCGGTATATTCCAGGGAAAAAATAAGCAATTATGAAATAAAGGACTATTTAAAGTTTATTTAATCTTAAGAAATAATAGCATAGTTGTCTCTTAGACACACACACATGCCCACAAATGATTCAAAAGATTCCTTTGAATGAACCTGTCAGCCTAGTTCATTCTTACTCTTTAGTGTTTTTTTTTTTTTCTTAATTAGAATCAGTGTTGGCTTCTGCAGCAACAGGCTTGAAACCCTTATTTATTAGTAGTCTTCAGGCATAGGCCATAACAGTGATACTTAGATTTGTAATGTGCCAGTCACCACCTAAGTCCTTTAAAATGCCTCTAACTTGATATTCACCAGGTAGTCTTTAGGTGAGCTATTTATTATTTTGCTCCTGAAAGAGGAATCCCCTTCATAGTTATCCCATTTTTTAGCTAAGGAAATAGAATCTCAGAGAGGGTAAGTAACTTGCCCAAGGTCACACGGTTGGCAGGTGGCAGTGAGCCAGGACTCTGATACCAAAGTCCCTGCTTTTGCAGTCACTAAAACTATAGCTGAGGCGAAAGTATTCCTCCTTGCTCACCCTGTTCTCCCGGCTCCAAGGGTGGTCATCATTATTATCATCTTGGAGCTGCTTCAAAGGCACGGTGGCTCTGCAGTTTCAACTCCAGGATGAGAAAAGCAAACAAAGTGAGTGTTCATTTTCAGCCTTTATGTGGGTCTTTTTATCTTCAAAGTCCTTTGTGAATATTAAACAATCTCCCCCCCCTCCCCCCGGGAAGCCCCTCACCAGTGGGGGAAGTGAACATTTCCATTAATGGTGACGAATGTTTATTGCTGTGGGTGAACTTGTGCCTTTTAGCCCGTGCTTCTGAAGCCTGACCGCTTTTCCATATAAATGAAGCACATTTTCATTCACAAGTCTCTCCCAGGTGCAAGAGGGAGTTGCCCAGATGTCTAAACACAGGGCTTTTTAAGTACCTTAGAGGACTGAAAAAGCTTTGCTGCTTCTGCTTCCTGGATACACACACAGTATTTGTGATAAATCAGAGAAGTTGACGGTGTGTATGTGCAGATTGCTGGATGTTTGCATGTTATTTCAGACAAAAGGCACACAGAGGAGACCTCTCTGGTGAAGCTGAAGGCACACCAAGGCTGCACAGTTGTCTCTGTGGTGCACCTGGTTAGCACATTTGGTTGCTAACTGAAAGGTTGGTGGTTCAAACTCACCCAGGGATAATTTGGTCTTCTTTTCAGAAATATTTGAATAGTCCATTTCAGGAATGTACTACTCTTTTGTGAAGCACTAGGGTAGTGTTCTCTAAAATGATCTGCTAAATCCCACCCCAGGTACCTGTTAAAACCCGAAGTTCCAAGACCTTGAGATTCTGATCCTACTGTTCTGGGGTTTGAGAATTTGCCTTTTTAGGACATACTCTCTACCCTCAAGGTTGCACAGAATTGTGGAGAAGATAAAATAATTGACTCCAGAGCCACATTGCCTGGGTTTCTCCACTTTATTCGCTCTGAAAAGTTTCTTGAGCCCCATCTGAAGGGACTCTATAACACAGTATCTTTGTAATTATCTACATTTTGGTTTTTGATTTATTTGTTTATTGTCTGTCTCTCTTAACTCCCCACCCCAAAACCTCCCCATCCTCTCTGTGGTGATTTGGTGCTGTGAATTTATCTAAGCTAGAGCTGTATTTCTCAGAATTCCCCTTTTTTATGGGAACAGATTGGGGCTGGGGCCATCAGAACATTTTGCATGAGATTAGAGAAGGGGGAGTGAAGCTACAGTCTTGTTCTCTGAAGGTCATCATCGGTTAGCAGTGGTGACAGATACAGAAATGTCAGGAGGTTCCACTTTCCCTCACTTTTCCCCATGCCACGTCCAAGTCTCCTTTCTGACTTCCAGTTCTGTTGACCAACAATGACCACAGGTCTGCCACCAGGACCTGGTCAGTGAACTCAGAGGAGGAGCCACGAAGAGCCGACCCCTTCCACAGAAGTCTGTCACCCTGGAAGCTGGATTTGCCTTCAGTGGTGAACGAACAGAGCTAGGCAAACCCCTAATGGCTTTATTTCCAAAGAATGTAAATTCCGTGAATTCTGTGACCCCTTGACTGTCTTGCTTGTCACTATTCCCCCGGTTCCTGGAGCAGGGTGTGCTCCTCTGTAGGCATTCAGTAGGCTTTAGCTGATGGCTAATGACAGTGATCGCTCCCTCACCAGTGACCCTCTCAGAATGGAAGTAAGGACGCCTCTCGCACAGTTCGGGTGAGGATAACATATAAAGAGCTGTGCTCTGTTGCTGGCAGATAATAAGCCCTGATGCATGATTGTTGCTGTTACTGATTTTGTTGTATGGCTTCAAAAATATCAGATCTGCTATGTGGAGCCAAAAACATGATAAGCTTGTGACATTATCTCTGCTTCAAGAGTCAAGGATGTCCCAGTCCACCTGGGTGTAGTAGCACCTTTGCCCTGGAATCATATCATCCCAGAGAACAAGAGAGCCAGAGAGGATGCTAAAGATTAAAGCAATCCAGGGTCCTTTCGGTGATCTTACATAAAATAAAAGTTTAGAAATACTTTATAACTATGTATATATGTGTATATGTAGGTATACATACATACACACATGGTAATATGTATGTCTAGCTATTATACACACATATTGGCATATGATAATAGTGTCCTGCCTTTCTCAGGGGAAGGGTGGAGATACACTGTGGTTGCCTGGGACAGTCAGTTTTTGTTTGCGTCTTGGCTTCTTATTAACAGTCCTCCCTTCACTCTTAAAAGTATCCTGGTTTGTTCAATAAATTATATAAACCATCTTGTTTCCCTTTGGGGAAGGGATCACCTTTGTCCTCTACTTCCTGTTCACACATTTGGAAGGAACTGGGCTACAGAGATGGGCCTGTAAGCTGGGCCTGGTGACTGAACATCCCATTCCCATGGCAACGGTGGCCGCTTGGGGGATGGGTTCAAGTTCATGGTGCCATCAGAGCTATAGCCCTTATGCCGGCACTGCCAATGAGCAACAGGCTTTCCTCTCATGGAACTGCTGACAGCAATGATGCTGGGTGCCTGGGGCTGCCTCAGGCTTCTCCGGGAAGCTTGAGCACGAAGCCAACATGACAGAAACACAACCACAAGGTAGGAGAGCCTGGGCCCCAGTCACTTGTCACACGTCCTGGGTCAAGCCTTCTCGGAAGCTGCACTAACTCTGGATATTTTTGCTTAAGTTAGATGAGTTTTCTGGCACCTGCAATTAAAAGCATCATAGTTTAATACTGACTGAAAAGCATAAAAGAAACAAAAGGGGTGGGATGCTCATGCCATTGTCTTCGTCCTCAGCCAACACTTCCTGGGCCATGGTTGTTACTCTGGTAAATTAGCAGGGCAGGTATGTCCCTGCATGTCCTCACCTCCCCATCCTCACCTCAGGCTGTGTAACTTAGTTACACTGCACTTTGCCAGGCCATTCATTCATTCAATAGATGGAAACTGAGCTCAGATGACCTCAAAAAGTTCACATTCTATTTGAGGAAATGGTTATAAGATGAAAGGGTAGCTGCTAAACAGAGTGGAATTCCAGGCCTTCTGACAGCTGATTGTAGGGATTCTTACTGACAAAGCTTTGGTGTGGTGGTGAGCAGAGAAAGCCTCAGAGAGGAAAACAGGTCAACATTAACTTTTGAAAGATTGGCAGGAATTTACTCTCCAGTCAAGAAATTAGGGGGAATCCTATGAAGAGAGACATGCAAAGATGATAGATATTTGGGGAATACAAATATTTGCTAGAGTGCAAATAACACCGGTTGTTTGGAGGAAGAATCTAGAGAGAGGGAAGTGGAATTCTAACACATACACTAAAAATCCTTGGGCTTCTCTACTGTGGGCAGTGAAAGACCATGAAAAGGGATTCGGATCTGTTGTTTTGGCTTCTCTCAGGCCACTGTACCAAGACTGCTTTGTTCTCCGCTTCACTGGCCTTCCAAGAAACTGCACCCAGAGTTGCAGAGCCTTCTTACTGACATGCCCCAGGAGAAATCTCTGCCTGGGAGAGCTGCAGACTGTGTGTTGCACATGATTCAGAACTCTTCTCTTCAGTCTGAACCCTTTGGCTAATGTATAGACAGTTTCTGCTTCATTGTTTTATTTCAGTCTTTCCTCCCATCTCTGATAGTTTTCTTTTGCTTTGGACTGATCTTTCCTTAATCTCTCATGCCATACCTCCCTTTTCATTTTACAGATCCCTTTGCATTTTCAAAAGACTGTTAAACAGACAACAGTTTCCAACAAGGTACAACTGAAGGCAGCGGGAGATGGAAAGCTGTTACAGAAATGCAGTAGAGAGAAGCAGAGAGAAGAGCATATTGGTGGAGGATGGAGAGGAGAGGAGGATTTGGAGGCTAGCCTCCTCCACGCACGTATGAAGGGATGAATGCAGTTGGGGTCTGGGTATCAAAAAGCAGTTAGCATGTGTTCTGAGAGAAACATCAGCATGTGGAGGCTTCAACTACATTTGGAATTGAATTTCCAGGCTCAGTAAATTTACAATATGCTTCCTCAATCCATCCCCAGCCCCTTGCTCCTCAGCTCACTGAAACAGCTAAATAATTAAATCCTAAAATGCTTCTAGGATATGCTTTGTTGTTGAAACACATCTGCTATATGTTGGGAGAGCCCTTCCCTGCAGATGTTTCATTCTGATGGCTCGTTTGTTTATCTACGGAAATGAGTATCTTAAACCTGCTACCCTGCTAAGAGTAATAAAAAGGACTCCTTTCAACACTCATCTTCATGATGCCCCTTGTGGTCCTTTATCAAACCATTAAGGACATATGCTGTGCCGCTAATTAATTTTTTTTCTCCTACTGCAGTGCATTAATCCAAGGGAAGGCCATCTTCTGTTCCAGACACAGTGTAGGGGAGCCAGACTGCACACGGCATTCTGTCCGAAGAAAACAGTCTTCCTAACTGGATGAGAAGACGCCAGAAGCCAGGACTCCACGGAGAGCGCGGCGTCTCTCACTGGCCCTGGTACCGTGCTGTCCATTCTCTGGGCAATTATGTGCTTGATGGGGCTCAGTTAAAGTGTTGTCCACTGATAAACTAGGGGTGGAGAAAATAAACAATAAATTAAAATGGCATAGTTTGAAGATGAACTAAAGGGTGTACATTTGTCCAATTTGGGGAAGGTTGGAAGCTGAGAACAAAGAGTAGACAGGATTTAGTATGCTCGCCATAAAGATCATGAACATAAGGAAAGACTTAATAAACGTCTTGGTGACATTCATGACCTCCAAATTTATTGAAACCCCTTGGCGAAAGAGTCGCTAGGGAACTCTTAGGGAAGGCATTTGCTTTCTGTTTCTACGTGCAGTTGGCCAAGATTATATGGGCTTCATTAAAAGATGTAACTAAGTCATCTTTGAAATACAGATGAAGGAGGAAGAAAGAGGAAATTTTAACTCAAGTCATGTTGGGTACAGCTTAGCAGCAGGAGAGGCCACAGAAGCTCTTTTAAAATGTGCATATGTCATAATATCAAAATAGAAAAAATAAATATTTTTTACCTTTAAAATGTGCTAAGCATTTGACACACAAACTTCTTTTTGTGTGGCATTTAATTTCACTAAGTTCCCAGAACCTGAGCTCTTCATCACGGTGGAATTGCCTCAGCAGCGTTTGGCACAGACATTATTGTCATTATAGATATGAGGATGAGAAAAGGATAAAGAAGAAAAGAAACTCTGTTCCATCTCATAGGGGTAATCCTCACAGCCACCTGTGACTTGTGACTATGATCCCATTTCTCAGATGAGAAAAACATGGTACAGCAAGGCGTAACATGCTCTAGGTGACACAGCCATAAAGTGAAAAGCAGGAGCTTTAATCCAGACCCAGCTCTGGTTGAATTCAGAGGTGATGTTTCTACTGCTACGCACATCACCAACCCACAAATTCAGGAGGTGCTGGCAGGGTTTCTCTGCAATGTATTTCTGGTGTCCATGTGCATGTGGTGCTAAGAGGACCTTACAGATCAGTGTCCTGTTGTGACACAATTATTATATTATAAAAACAAGCTTGTCTGCTTTATGTGACTGTGGGGAAAAATCTTTTTTTCTCTCTAGATGTTTGTAGAATATTTTTCTTCAATCTTGAAATTCGTGTTTCTGCCAGGATATGTCTACATACCCTGTGTGACTCTTTGTGTGTATTTTGCTTATTCAGTGACTTCTTTCCATCTGCATCCTTAGGTGCTCGGCTCAGAGAAGATCTCTTAAATACTCTATCTCTGCTTTGGTTGCCCTTATCAATTTCCTTTATAGGTACAGCAATTATCCAAATATTGACAGGTTATTCTCTCTTTCCTAGTTATGTGGCATCATCTTCTTTGTTGTCCTCTTTCTATATTTTCATGTCTTTGCCTGCTCAAAGAATGGACAGCATGGTACCAGGGCCAGTGAGACACGCCGCGCTCTCTGTGGAGTCCTGGCTTCTGGTATTTGATTTTCCAGTCTTTTCTGCCTCCATCAGCCTCCACTAGGTCTATAATTCTGCTAATATAATTTTGGCATTTTTGCATTTTTTTTAGCTCATCCAACTTTGTTTTCATTCCGTTCTGCTGTTCTTTCTTTCAGCATACTTTCCCTTTGTGATTTTTGCTACTGTTGAATAGATGATTTTCTTTTTCTTGGCTTATGTGATGGAATATTCTATTTTAAAGTTTTCTTTTGGTTTGCAATATACCATCTTCAAAAGCACATTCTTCTTTTATTTCCCATCCTTTTCTGCAATTTTTATATTCCCAATTTCTTCTTAATTCTCTTTACTTAGCCTTGAATGAAGTAAAGTGTTTCCAGACCAGGCATTCACCATTAATATCAGGTTTCCCTAACTCTGCTACCTACTTATCTAATGCTGGACTCCCATCTCCAGTCTCCAACTGGAGAGATGGACAAGGCTGTCAGCCTAGTTCCTGGTTTCTATACAATATCTAGGTAGCACGGTTCCAAGGTTTGTAAGATATCTAGGTATTGCTCCAGGACCTTGCTGTCTTGATTGAATACATGGCGTGTTCTGACTGCCCTCCCAGCATGCACTGCTTCTGCGTAATTTTTGTATTTGCTTTCATTACTTACCATAGAGGATCAGACACTCCAAATCCTCCTCCCCGATTCCTGACATTTTCTGCTGTATTCTTTGGTGAGAGAAGACATAGATGGAAGAGAAGAGAATGATAACTGTTTATTAGGAAAAGAAATCAGTACCCATGAATTCGAGGTGTAGCTGCCTGGACTTAATTTGATAGAGCCCTAAATGCCTTCATCAGAACAATCTTAGATGGTAGAATTTTCTTCCAATCTTCTTTGAAGCATATTTTGAGCATGAATAAAACTACCTGCTAGAGCATGTGTAGATTTTTATTTTTTTGAATTTTTACTGCAATATATTCCATTGGATTTAATATTATTAAGAAAATCCTTCCCAAATTCAAGTCTTAGTTTCAAGAGGGGTGAGCTTTTACCTTGTTTACCATCTTCATGGGCAGCAGGAGAATGGACAGACCTGCACTAGGAATGGCTAAAATGCCAAATGCCGTTTTAAACTGAGAGGCACCCAGCAGTTAGCATCTGTTCAGTGCTGGGAAGGTGGTAAATGGCTTCCATACCAATGAACCTTTGGGCTATTACCCATTCATAATGTGGGAACTAAGGGTACTATAAATCACCTGCTTTTCTTCATATAAGTTTGCAATTGGGTTCCAAACTAAAAGTTACAGAATAACTAATTATTTTTTTAAAAAGCTAAAGACTTGAAGACATTATTGTCATTATAGATATGAGGATGAGAAAAGGATAAAGAAGAAAAGAAACTCTGTTCCATCTCATAGGGGTAATCCTCACAGCCACCTGTGACTTGTGACTATGATCCCATTTCTCAGATGAGGAAAACATGGTACAGCAAGGCGTAACATGCTCTAGGTGACACAGCCATAAAGTGAAAAGCAGGAGCTTTAATCCAGACCCAGCTCTGGTTGAATTCAGAGGTGATGTTTCTACTGCTACGCACATCACCAACCCACAAATTCAGGAGGTGCTGGCAGGGTTTCTCTGCAATGTATTTCTGGTGTCCATGTGCATGTGGTGCAATGAAGTCCTGCCTTGGGGCCCTTACAGAAATGTCTCATGGCAACACTGACACTTGCTTATACTTATAATGTCTTACGGTACAGTCTCTTCTTCCCTTGGGGTCTGGCCTAAGTCCATAAGGAAAAGAGAGGCTGGGGACCAAACAAGTAAACCTCCCTCCTGCACTAAAACACCCTCCTCTAATTCCCAGTCCTCATCTTTGAAACAAGCATGGGCTGAAGTCATCAGATAACTTGAAAAGAATGACTATTCTTCTACATAGAAATAAATTCACCTAAATTTCATGAATATTGTGGATTTTCTTGCAGTGGACTTAATGGTTTGTACACTGCCTCTTCCATTCCACGGCAGCTCTAACCTTTGGGGGTCACTAGTGTTAAACCGATCACACCTCTAACCTTGGGGATCCATATTGTTTAACTGATATGTGGGCCTGGAGGAAGGGTGAATATAGCCAGGGCTGGGGATGCAATCCTTTGTTAGGAAAAAGCGTAAATGTAACTGGCTGAAAGCTCTGTAAAGAAAAGAAAAGTAAGCGGGGCTTAGAAGGCAATGATGGGAATGTCCCCCAGCATATCAGCTTTGGGCGAGTACTGATCTCTCTTTAGAATGGGCTGGAGGGTAGGAAAGTGGGGGTGTGCCCTCATGTACGTTGACCTGTCAAATTGTCTGCTACCAGGTATTATCAAGGCTGTCCCCTGACATTTAAAAATAGATGAGCTGTCTCCATGAGCACCTTTCAAGATGAGTATTCTCGTATCAACCTTGCCACCGGTGGGTTTTTAAGATCTGCCATCTTCATGTATCTTGCAGTAAATGGGCATAAAGCATGGGTATCTCTTGCAATATTAATATAGACAAAATTCCTCTTCCTACTACCTCTTACTCCTCCCCACCCCACCTCACCTTGCTGTGCTTCAGTAGTTTTTGCTGTGCTTGGAGGTTTCTATGGAAGTGTTTCGCTTGTATTCTTAAAGCTTATTTTAGAGCAGGAACAAAGATTAAAGTCCGTTCTGGAGAAGAACCACTAATTTCTAATGAACAATCACAGGAGATCACTCAAGAGTAAGAAAGAGCTTCTTCTTTTTGTCTTTAGCTAGTGGGTCATCCATCTTCCTTGGGCTTTGTCTTAGAGAAGACACTTCCAAGAATTGCACCTTTCCTAGCTGTGCTTACAGAGTATCAAGGGGTTAGATGGAGGCATAAGACAAATGAACAACAAATCTACACAACAACAGCAGAAGTCAATTGTCTGGGTACTGGTTGCAAACACTTAGAAGTGGATGTTTGAGTTTTTATTTTTTAATCTAGATGTTAGATACCTATGTTTGACTTATTGTTTTATACTCCAAAGTACCTAGCACTCTGTCTTGCACCTGGCATATATACCTGATAAATATTTATTAAATGAATAAATGCATGAATGAAGATAATGCATGGATGTGTGTAACTGATGATATTATATCAAAAGGAGTTGAATATATAAAGTCTTGAGACACTTTTACATTGACAGTGATGGAATTTAAAGAAAATGGAATCTCATTTTTCTGCGTTTAGATTTGATGAATTTCTTAACACAATATTCTCAATCACTTCATGCTGGACGAAGGTAGAGGTTGAGGGAGAGTTCTTGAACTTAGGTGACACTTAAGTTAGAATTGCAGGAGTTATACTCTAGCCTTTGTGAGAGGTTCGACCATTTCTAAACCTACAACTGGTTATGTATAAAATAAGGAGACAAAAGGAGAGCCTATCCAATGTATTCCATCTGGTGGATGGCAGGACAAGAGTTAAGAGGACACCAGAACAAAGAATCATACTTTAGCCCAATGTAAGAAATGGTTGTTTGACCACATGAGCTTACACCGAGCAGTGAGAGAGCAGCTCCGTAAGTGGTAAGGTTCTCCAACCCTGGGGATATTCAGCACATTCATTTGTATAAAGTACCTGGAGTAGAGCTTTGGCATATAAGAATACTATTTCAGCATTTCTTCAATAAAACAAAAGTTGGAATAGCTAAAATACTGAGTATTGAATCCTGTGTTTCTTCAGTTTTTAAAGTTTTTTTTAATCCCATGATGGCTGGGATTTTTTGCATGGAAGTCACAACCTAGCCTTAGAATTTTTAGTCCAAAAGAGAATTGTACTGGAAGGCTAATTTAAGGGAGTGGACATATAGGGATGAAGACAGGCTGAAAAGGTTGTTTGGAATGGGATTCAGGACTTTCCAGAGGCCCCAGGTACCATCTCTGGGAAGAATGAGAACTCCAGCTCTTTTTGGTATTTTCATCATACTAACTCGTAATACAAATTCCAAATGGGGAGCATCTGATGGGCATTTGACTAGATTACTTAATTGCAAACCAGACTCTAAGTACAGAAGAGGGAATATCTCAAGAGGAAATGAGGGTGAAATTTCCAAAATAAAGTATAATAGGTACCAGGTAAGCAAAACCCAGTACCACCCATATAACCTGTGAACACCTTCCAGCCCTCTGGTCTGGAGCTCTGGTAATATGATTTGGGGAACCTGGCATATATACCTGGATGGGGTTTATGATCTCCTGACTTACTCCATGAATATACTGTCCACAGCCAAACCATTGCCTAATATGCCTCGTGAGGATGACAAGAGAAGCCCGACACATAACACAATCTCCTCCCACCATGTATTTAGATGCTCTGGGTATAAGAAAGTTGTCGGCTTGGGAAGCAGCGTTGTCTCCTGGCTTCTCACTGTGGACTCTACAGCAAGACATTCTGGTGGCAGCCTGAGTCAACCTTTGCAATTTATTAAACTCTCTATACAAGTGTCAGTTTTTTTCATCGTACCAACCTCATAGACTTATCATGTGTCAGGGTTAAATTAGATAATACATGCACAAACAGATGGGCACCTATTCAGCCCTCACAATAGAGGATTATTGATAATATTTTTATTACTACTACTATTACCACTACCAGTCAGGTCACCACTTATTACTTATTGGTTAGGATCTGACGTCTCAGACATCCATGATATCCAAGAAACACATTCTACTGGATGTTTTTCTTCAGGAGAGGAGGAAAATGCCTAAGGCATAGGCAAACTTCTATAAAAAGAGTGGAAAGAGAGAGAAAGATCGGCACCTCCCATTCCTCATCTTCAGAACAGGTCGGAAGTGGCTCTATTGCTCTGTGCAGAACAGAAACTCTTACTTAAAGGAATAATCATGCACTGAAGGCAAAACAGAACCAAAAAATGAAAAACAAACATCACATGAACAAAAGCCCTTATTTTCTGTTTCCATCCAGGGCATAGCTTTTAAAATATATATATTTTTTGCCTTCTTATTTAAAAATTCTATCCATTTGTAAACAGAGAAAACACCACTGGGACTGTGCCACCCCACTCCACACTCCACTAACCAATTGCTGTGGCATGCAGACATGGAGCCTTCCGGTACTGCTTTCTCAGTTCATAAATTTGTATAGGAAAATTTAAATGAAATGTAATTTTTTTTTGAGGATGAAGGGGGTACAAGTTATAACTGTGAGTGGGCTAGCTCTGGAAATCCCAAGAAGAGGAATACTGCTCAGGACATAGATCCTCTTTTAGGTGACAAAATAATTCAGAGGGAACCCAACCCCTTGGGACATTTGTGGTTATAGTTAAACATACTGACCCTTTATCTAGTAAAACCTAATGCAATTCCACTGACTTTATTACCAGGACCCTGTGCTACAGGGATAACATTTCTGTATGCCTCCTTTAGTGACCCTTGTTAATTGAGGTTTTAATAAAATCTCAAAGTGAAGTGTTTCAGTTTCTCATGGGTCATCAAAATATTTGGTTCCCATGATTACTGACATCATAATGTGCATATTACATGCATTCTTCTACTCAGTATTCTCTCAAAAACACTGCAAGGGAACAAGTAGCAAACCCATTTCACAGATGAAGAAACATGCTCAGCGAAGTAAAAAGATTTGATCCAGTTTATACAATTTCTAAGTGGCACAGTAGAACAAAATCATACATTTTGATATTAGAACATTCTCTTTACTTTCCACCATTACTGTTTCATTGTTTTAAGACTGAGGTTACCATATGCCTCTAAGAAATACTTTGGATCCTGAAATAGGGTTTCCAGACTGTCAATCCAAGTGATTCTTATTTGATATCATCAGCCACTGAGATAGCGTTTTAGAAGACCAAAGAGCTGAGGTGAAGCTCAGAGATAAAATGAAAACATTGCATTTATCTGGCTTTTTGCCCATTCTTTGAGTCACTCAGAGTGGGCCATGAGGAAAAGCATAGTAAGATTCCATTTCACTGTTAATGGATTTTAACTCACTTTTAATTCAACAACAAATGGAAGCATTCATTGTTCTTTGCAGATCTAACATCCTATTATTCCACTGAAGTTTCATTGGCTATCTGTTTTGATCAATGTGGGCATGAATATAATTCTAATAAAAATGCAGGCTATTTTAATACAATTTAAATTTTTTTCCCAGTTACCATATAACTCACCAGATATTTGTCACGTGACAAACTAGTCCATATTCCAGTTATTAGTTCTCTGGCATTTTATTAGTTCTCTGAACATTTAATATTATTCACTTAATTGAAAGATAACATATGTGTACAGAAGAGCATTTGGAAAACATGGACATTCATCAATGAATAAAATAAAGATCACTGGGGTCCAGCTACTCAGAAATAAAGATAATTAACAGTGTATGATGTATGACTTTTATTAGGCACATGCACTTATTTTTAAAAAAACTGAGATAATATTTTCTATATCAATTTATAACCTTTTTCAAACTTAATAATATAACACAAATATTTATTGAAGTCACTAATAGTCTGCTAAGACTTTATTTTTAAAAGCTGATTATCTGACTCTATAATTTTAGAAACTAATCTTTCTTTGGATACTAGATTTTTTCTAACTTTTCAACTTTCACAATAACACTCGTAAGATATCATTGTAAACAGAGATTTTGTACATACCTGTTTCTGTGAGGAATATTTTTGGTTGAAATTTCTAAAAACCCAAGTAATAGTCTCTTAATTGATATAAATATTTTCCCAACATAACAAGCCATCTGGAGTTTGAAAACCAGCACTGGTACAGTGGTTCAATGACACCAAAGACTTAAGCTCTTTCTGTATTTTCTCTCCCTTGAGAAGAGATAGAAATAGCCTGAGTATTTGCTTATTATTTTTATGCTTTCAGAGCTCATTGTTACAATATGGCAACCATAGTGTCATACCTGTACTCAAAGGAAGAAGAACTGGGAGGGAAGGATTTCAGCCACACTGCAGCAGTGTGATATCCATGTGTCCACTCTAGATGCAAAGAAGCCTGGCAGATAACATATTTAGGTCTTCTAACTTCCATATAGGATGAGATCAAGAGAAAAAGGAGTTGGCAATAGGTGTTAGGCTGGTCAATCAACAGTGTCTGTGATTATCTGTAATATAAAATACGAATATTCTCCATACAGGAATAATTTCTAGAGGTGATAGCTTAAAACTGAATTTTTTTCCTCTAATAAAAGAAACAGATATCCATTGCAGAAAACATGACCCCCCCAAAACCCCCAAACCCTTAGAAAATCACAAAGAAAAAAAATGACTCAGAAAAGATGACTCCAGAAAGAGTTTTAAAGTTTAATCATAATTTTCCATGGAGATAATGGTAGGTTGCAGTGACAGAAATGAGTGAGATTCAGAAAACAGCACCTAGAAGGCATGTAGGAGTGAAACCAAAGAGTACACACTTGAAAGCACAAATAAATGAGGGCTCAGCAGATTATAAAGTTTAAGAGATGGGTAGTTCATAGAAGCAGGTAATACTGCAGAGACAGAAGCAAGACTCTAGTAGAAGGTTTTTCAGTTCATGCACCCCAAGGGCCACTCTATTCTGCCCTGGTGTCAATGCAGAGTCTTGAGATGTGGGCTGAAGCAAGGAGGTGTCTTGATCACATTACCTGTTAGAAAATCACTCCATCATCAACGTCCAGTTGCACAAAGAAATGCCTCAAGATAGGCAATCAGTTAAAAGTCTACCACAACAACCAGTTCTACCTTCTCTAGAAACGTCTCCCCCTGGAGAACACACCCCTGAGGAATTGTTGGTGTGCTCTCATGGAAACTTGTATGACCTGAGAGTTCTAAGAAAAATCATCTTCAACATTGTAATAATCCTCATTTCAGTAACTCTGAATCTTGAACAAATTCTCCATTCCTGTCACCAGAACTAGGAGCTTTCTGTATAGTGTATCACAAGAATCCCAAGCAGTTGCTTTGAAAACCATATTCTTGGCTGCCAGCATTCTGGAGAGTTGTCTCAGTCATGAGCTAGGGGCTGAGCATGTCAGGCTGTTCCTGCTGCCCCATTCCCCAACTTTAAAGCAAGTGTTCCCCATCTATTTATTTTATTTTGTCACAATATATATGGAGTTTCTCTACTTCTACCTCTTACCTGGATTCTAAAACCTCCCCTTTTCACTTCCTTTGTTAGCCAGACACATGGTAAATTAAGACAAAAGAAAGGGGCCTTTTGTACTACAGTTCAAAGAATAGAACGGAAAGGAACTTTTTTTAGTTTAATAACACCAAAGAGGATCAGGGCAAAAGTTCTCTAAGATTCTGATTGCCTTATGGAAGTTTGACTTGGCAAAAGTATTCTCTACATCTTTCTTTTCCACCAACATGCACTCAGACCCTGTAAGCTATCCTCAGAGAATTGATCTAATGGAATGGAAAGACTCCTGAAACCAGGAGGACAAGAAATGTGGCAAAGCATCTGTGAATAAGGGAAAGATGGGAGAAGGGTTTGGGAGTCAGGGCCTTGGAAGGGAGGGGGACTCAGAGATGGGTGCATTTGGCCACCCCAGTTAATGTGAAAGATTCCTTATGTTCTCTGGAAGAGTGTATCATGGGTAGAATAAAAGAGAACCATTTCCAATTCCCCACTAATTCCCAGACTCTGTGTGGATTATAACAGGTAAAGTAGGCCTGAAGAAAGGGTAGGGCCACAGAGGTGCCAGCTTCAGACTCACAGAGATTGAATCCCTTAGAAGGTGTGAGATTTTAGGCTGATTAATTTCCTATTTCTCAGTTTTCTTAACTGTAATATGAAGATAAAAATACTACATACTTCTGGCAAGGAGGAAAAAGATGGCAGCATGAGAAGTGAGCAAGAAACCTTCTCTGAAAAACCACATATAACATGGAAATACAGCAAATACAACTAATCCTGACTGACCAACAGGAAAGATGACTGAAACAGATGAGCTATATCTGGGGTAAAGAGAAGACCTCATGGAAAAGGGTAAAGTAGCAAAGACATGATCTGGTGAGACCCAAGCCCTCTCCCACCCCCAGCTCACAACTGGGAGGAAGAGAAACAGAATGGAGAGGGAGTAGAAGCCCAGGACTGCTAAACACCAGGCCCTGGAGATCTGCTCTGGGAGCCCAAACTCACATTACATGGTGCTCTGAAGATTAGTAGGGTTGGAAAATAAAGACAGGCAGAATATTTAGAGAGACTGAGATTCCAGGTACCTGTGGAAAACAGGTACCCACAACCAGCTGCTCTGGGACAAAAGAAAGGCAGGTGCTTTGAAAGGCTTCCCAACAGTGAGAGGGGAGTTAAAGGGGCAATGATTACATAGAACCTGTTGCTCAGGAGAAAGGACAGGTGTACAAAATCATCCTGGCACACTCAGTCCTGCAGGTTGGGAACTTTCAGGAGCTTCAGGTGTTTCATACCCCTGGCTGGGATTGCAGCCCTGAGGCCCCCACTACAAAATGCAGACTACTGCTTCTTCCTCCTGGCAGGCACTGGTCCTAACACCTGCTACCCCCACCATTGCACCAGGCCAGCAGGAGGATGGCCCTGCCTATGACAGCTACAGGGGCGTAACATAGAGGCTCCTCCCTGTGCACTAGTCCCACTGGACATGGCAGTGGAGGCAGGCACTGCAGCCAGGAAGCAGAAAAGAGTGCTTTCCTCTCAGCAGGCATGGGCACCACTCACCTGTGACCCTTGCCATTGCTCCAGGTGCTAGGTAGCTCCAGAGAGTAGAGCTTCTGGGCACTGGAGGGTGCTGCCTACACAAAGTTATTATTCCATAGTAATCATTAGAAATATGAAATGGCAAAAGAATCTTGTACAAACCAAAATCCCTCAAACATCAGAAAGAGGGCAAAGTGAAACTGAAATAATCAATCTTTGGAATGAAGATTTCAAAATAAAAATCATAAATATGCTCACGGAGCTACAGAAAAATATTCAAGATCTCAGGGAAGACTTCAAGAAAGAGATAGAAACTTTGAAAAATACACTATCTGAAATGAAACGTACAATGGAGGGATTTAAAAGCAGATTAGAAGAGGTAGAGGAGGTGGTAAATGAAGTAGAAATTAGAGAACAGGAATACAAAGACACTGAGGCCTAGAGAGAAACAAGGATCTCTAGAAATGAAAGAATAATAAGAGAACTGTGTGACCAAGCCAAACAGAACAATATCTGCATTATAGGGGTACCAGAAGAAGAAGAGAGAAAAAGGGATAGAAAGTGTTTTTGAGGAGTAATTGCTGAAAACTTCCCCAATTTGGGAATGGAGATAGTCTCTCTAGGCCATGGAAGTGCACAGATCTCCCAACACAAGGGACTCAAGTAAGACAACACCAAAACATATAATAATTAAAATGGCAAAGATCAAGGATAAGGTCAGAGTATTAAAAGCAGTCAGAGAGAGAAAAAAGACCACATACAAAGGAAAATCCATCAGATGCTCTATATCGCCAATTATCAGGGAAATGCAAATTCAAACCACAATGAGATATTACCTCACACCCATTAGGGTGGCCAACATCCAAAAGACGAGGAACAACAAATGAGGATGTGGAGAAAAGGAAACCCTCCTACACTGTTGGTGGAAATGTAAGCTAGTTCAGCCATTGCGGAAAGCAACATGGAGGTTCCTCAAAAAACTAAAAATAGAAATATTATTTGACCAAGGAATTTCATTCCTAGGAATTTACCCAAAGAAAACAAGATCCGAGATTCAAAAAGACATATGCACCCCTATGTTTATTGCAGCACTATTTACAATGGCCAAGATATGGAAGCAACCTAAGTGTCCATCAATAGGTGAATGGATAAAGAACATGTGGTACATATATACAATGGAATATTATTCAGCCATAAGAACAAAACAAATCCTACCATTTGCAACAACATGGATGGAGCTAGAAAGTATTAAGCTCAGTGAAATAAGCTGGGTGGAATAAGCCAGGCAGAGAAAGACAAGAACCAAATGATTTCACTCATTTGTGGTGTATATCAACAATGTAAAACTGAAGGAACAAAACAGTAGCAGACTCACTGGCTCCAAGAAGGGGCTAGTGGTTACAAAAGGAAAGGGGGTGGGGAGGTGGGTAAGGAAGGTGGGAGAAGAGGATTAAGGGGCATTATGATTAGCATACATAATGTCGTGGGGGTCACAGGGAAGGCAGTATAGCACAGAGAAAGTAATTAGTGACTCTATATCATCTTACTGCATGGATGGACAGTGACTGCAGTGGGTGTGGAGGGCGACTTGATAACATAGGTGAATGTAGTAACCACAATGTTGCTCATGTGAAACCTTCATAAGATTGTATATCAATGGTACCTGAAAATAAAAAAAGACAGTTGCAAGTGAAAGGATATTATGAAAAAATACTACATACTTCTAAAGTTGATGAAAGGAATAAATAAGATAAAATATTTGAGGTGCTTAGATTGGTCCTTAGGAGTCAGCAGTCTCTGTAAAAAGTCAAAATAGTAAATATTATCAGCTTTGCAGGCCACACTATCTCTGTTACAACCACTCACCCCTGTCCTTGTACTAGGGAAAACAGCCATCGATAATACATAAGCAAATGTAAGTTTCTAATAAAACTTTCTCTATACAAACAGATGGTGGGCCAGATTTGATCTCCTGCTTTAGTTTATGGACCCATAGCTTAGAATATTACTGGACACACTGTAGATGATTCATAGATATTAGCTGTTAATTATTATTTTTATTATCTGACCACCATATTTTTCCAGATTTTTTTTGTTTGATAATTAGCCAATAGGAAAAATTTCTACATTAATGTCCAATACCAGTTTTCTAAAGTCAAGGTCATAATAAAGAAATTATATTGGACTTGCTTATAGACTATATTTGTATAAACAAGTCCTGCTTTAAAAAATATACACAAGAAAAAACTAATAGATTTGATTTTGTCCAACTTCCTTCTACCACCACAAATACCTGTCATCTCAAATGCTTCCACCCCTTTCCATGAAGATTTAGGTTTGGAGAGTGCTTGGCAGGCTGCAGTCTTCTGCACAGCTGATACGTGGTGAGAGCCAGCTTTTCACAAGGCTGGTTCTCCTCGACACCATCCCCGCTGCTATCACTGTTACTATCATCCAGAAAATTCTCATTTCTCAAAGAGAACACCCAGGTTCCAGGAGATGGTTCTGCCAGCATCTCAGCATCGTTCCAGCAAACCCATCTGTTTATGCTGCTCAGGCAAGGCCAAATGGATTGGAACATATGGCTGGGACTTCTCATCTTGGAGAGCCGAAGCTAACAAATACTTGAGAACACACATTTGGTGTGGGAGGTATGTTGGCTCAAAGACACTTGGTCTATTTGCAAGCCTGAGGCTCATGGGGAAATGACCTGAAGTCCTTGCAGGGGAAGGAGAACCTTCCTATTTTCACAAGAATAAGTGGAAGTGATTATATGTCAGTATTACACTATCCTTCTCTACAAATGCAAGAAGCAAGGCTCAGAGAGTTTGAAGAAAGTGCCTCAACTGAGACTGGGATAAAGTGGCAGAAACTGAACTAGTTTACAAGTATTGTGTCACAAGAGAGCTTTTTATGTTTTCATTTACTTAATTAGAATGTCCCATTTTCCAACCACTCCAGGGAAGTTGAATTTTACTATATATGTCATATCGAACAGCCTGTGAATAAATGGTGTAAGAATAAATCTGGGCACAAATACAGCTGGACGAAATATCTTGGAAAAACCCTGGAGATGGGGGCAAAGTAGGCGAATAGTCTGTACCTGAACATGGGAGTCTAAGCAACGGACAGGTTTTTATCAGGTTGTCAGGCTCTGGGCGTCCACAGTCCTTTCAACAACTAGTTGTCTGAGAATGAATCAATGAACCAGATGGCTATGGCGTGGCCCCTGTTTTCATGGAGCTTATAGTCCAGTGGGAGGTTACTGAAGTGGTCCCAGAAAGAAAGCCACAGGGCTATCAAAGGGTCTATGAGAGTTTATCATGGTTTACTGAGTTAAGAGCAGGATGGAAGGACCTGGAAGAACGAGGGGAGCGTGCTGCACTCACCATGGTGAGGAGCTGACACCACGTTTGGGATGGAAGAGGCCGGAGGAGTGGTGTTATCAGCCCAGGGACAGAGCTGAGCCTCAGAGGAGCCGAGCCTGTGGCTGCAGAGATTCACAGCCAGACGGAAGCACCACCACAGAGCAGAGGGGTTAGGTGTGGGAAAGACAGTTTTGCACTCTCTCTGACCTCCCACCCTTGGCCCAATGGCAGATTCTGCTCAGTAACCAGAGAGCAAAGGAGCCGTAACCTGTACGGTTCAGCTTCCTGAGACCCGAGTGTAGTTGAAAAGAAGGGAGAACAATTTTTTGTTTGGAGGGGGAGATGTTAAAAATTAGGAACAACCAGCTTACTTGTGGTTATGTTCTCAATGCCTAGTTACCCATGAAGGACACACAGTAGGCCCTCAACTCACCCTCATTTAATGGAAAAGAGCTTGATGGAAATGAATGGGTTTTTCCATCAGCTAAGCAGAACCCAATCTCTGTTGCTTTACAGCCATGAAATACTGGGTTATTTCCTGAAATTCTTTGTTTCAATTTCCACAGCTATAAGATGGAAATAATAATGCCTTCATCACAGGGTCTTTGTAAAAAATCAGAATGTTTTTTTTAAAACACTTGGTATGTGGAAAACTTTCAAATAGTGTTGTGTTCTTTCCTTTCTTCTTTATTACTGTTGCATCCTTATTACTATAATAATTCAAGGAATTCATTGCCCAGTAAGCATAAAATTCAATGTTGGACATTACTGACAAATATATTAATAAACTTAAAAGTGTTAAAAACAATCCTTCCAAATGATAGCAAAAGTAAAAATAATACTGGTCTTAAAAGAGATTAAGGAAACCAACCTCAAGATTATAGTCCTCCAAAGTTCCACCCCTTAAAATAGCTTTTTGATTTTTACATCAGAGCATTTTGGACAATCGTTTAAAAATGTTGTAAAAGTTACCATCCCTGAGGTGATGGGTGTGTTTCCAATAGAGATTCCTACCCTGCTCCTCGCCTGCAGAGTTATTTGTCCAAACCAGAATTGATTATATTACTTCCCATTCTTAAACATAGCTCCCACATGCCTATAGCACAAAGTTTAAACTCTTTAGCAAGACATCCGAAGGTCCGCCTAATCCAGCTCCAAAACATGCTTTGAATCCAGTCTCCTAGCCCTCCGCACTGCAGTCAGCTTCACGGAACTGCTCACACTTCCCTCTTTCTGTTCCTTATTGTTCACTCTGTCCATCTTTGTCTTCTTGGCCAGGTGCAACCTTATTCATCCTTCAAATCTTGATCCCACTGTTGCATCTTTGGAAAATGGGTCATTCCTTCTCCTCTGTTCCCTGGGTTCTTTGTTATAATTCTGACTGCTGTCCTGTGTTATGATTTTTTTTTCATATGCCAGTTTCCCTGGCCAATTCAACGTACATTCAAAGTGCAGAGCCTGATGTACCACATATAATGAATACCTCTTAACTGGTTAGTTAGAGTAAGGAGAAATTCATAAAGGTGAGCTTCCCAAAGAAGGTATGTCTTCCCAAAAAGTGAATGTTAAATTTGTAAGGTGAGGAATATGTGCTTTAAGAAAGGAGAAAAGGACAGTTGTATTAGTTGGTATGGATGCCACAGCCAGTGCTCTGAGGATGAGACCGAGCAAACATGTTTTCATGGGAAAGCAAATAAGCTGGGTGCAGTTTAAGGAGAACAGGAGAAATTAAAGAAAGTGAGTACAACTGATTCAATCCTTCACTTTCCCCAGGCAGCCTTCCCTGGCTACTTCAACCCTAGGAAATGGCCCTACTTGGTTCAGTTCTGTAGCTCAATCTTGAGCGTTTGCTTGACCTACCTGGAGCTGTCATTAACTTTGCTTTTCCTCCGCTTCCTGGAAGCTGAAACGGCATCTCATTATCTCCAGCCTATGTATGCACATCAGTGAGTTGTGGAATGAAATGAGGAAAGACCTTGTTTTTCTCACACAGAATTTGCCTTTGTTGGAATGGACAATGTGAGGCACTGCCCCTCTGGTCCTCCCTTTCCTTTTCCCTCCTCGGAAAAGAGAGAAAAATTCTGATTTATTCATTTATTCATTCTTTATCAAGTGCCTGCTGTATGCCAGTCCCTGTTGAGTGCTGAGGATACAACAAAGACTGAGACAAAGTTCTCATTTTGACAGAGCTTATCCTTCATTGAAGGAGACGTAAACAATGAATAAACAAATACAAAGTAATATGCTTCAAGAAATGATAAGTGCTGTGAAGAAAAATAAAGTTGGATGAGGGTCTCAGAATGCTGGGGTAGCGATGTGGGAAGTGATTTTCAATAAAGTGCTCAGCAAAGGCATCCCTGTGCAGGGGCTCTATGATCTAAGAGGCATGTATTGTGAAGAATGAAGTCCCATGAAGATGGGCAGTTAGGACATGCCAAGACTTTCTCAACCAATTATTGAACCTCGTCATAAGATCATTTTATAAGTCCTTCAAAGGGAGATCAGATTCATGGGGGGTATTTTTTCTTTATAGACTCTTAGCATCTATTACCAATTATTTCATTAATCTCTGAATCTATTCTTTGATTACTTATTCAATTACCCACTAATATCTGAAATGAGATTTCATTGATGTTAACTTCCAGGTTATTTTTTTCCATAGAAACATTGAGAATTAGATTTTCCTTTGCTCAATCATATCCATTCTCCCTTCCTCTATAGTCTCATTGTAAGGTTTATAGGCCATCTACAAATTTGATGGATATCATTGAAAGGCAGCAGAAGACTGAGGATTGTCATATGTCAGCTCCAGGACACATGACATCTGAAATATATTCCTCTGAAATCTAGTCAATAAGCATTTGCTGAATGTCTCCTATGGGCCACACATCTTTCTACCTGATACATCAGTGAACAAAACGCTTTGGTTTCCCTCTTTTTATAAACTTATATTCTTAGAGGGGGAGACAGACAAAAACATAAGGCATATATGTTACAAGGCATGCATAAAAAGTGATGCATATTATGAAAAAAAAAAAGACAAGTGTCAAGCCATTTGTAAAGGAATTGGCTGGCTTTGTTGGGTGAGAAGCACTTTATAGAGAAAAGATTGTACGGTGAGAGGTATATACAAGGAGACCAGTGTGGCTGGAGTGGAGGGAGCTGGAAGAAGAGTTACAGAAGGCAGTAGCCAGACCCTGTAAGGCCATGAGGACCTTTGTGAGGTCACTGGCTTCTCTATTCAGAGTGGCTGTATTCCTCATGGAATATAGACCGTCTCTAACAATTTGCTGTCTTTCAAAACCAGTTCTAAAGTAACCAGGGCTAATGAACTCCATGATTAAAGTTACATTCCACTTTGGAGTTGATAATATGTTTTTGCATGTATTCATTCATTTAATTCTCCCAAATCCTTAAGTTTTTTCAGTTTTAAAGTGAAGAAACTGAGCCTGGGAGATGTGAAGTAACCGCCTCATTATCTGCCAAGGTATGGAAGATGAAGATGCAATTCTTACCCAGGAACATTTTACTGGAGCAATGTCTACCACCTTCACCATCACCTTCCTGTAACCAGTTACGCTTTGCCCTTCCCGGGACTACCTCATCCACCCCTGAACTGATGGGCGTGCATCTACCCTTTCCTTAATGTGGCAACAGTCAGTCTGACCAGGCTGCACCCCTATGTCAGTGCCTCCCCAGCTGTTGGCATGGCCTGCAGGACGCTGATGGATGGGCTCACATCTCCCCAGCCTTGGCACGCAGCTCCACCTCTCCTCTTTGGCCTACAGGCACATTCACTCTCTTTGGTGCTTGGCTGGCTACAGGTGCACCGCACATGGCATTCTCTCTTCCTGGAAAAAAATCCCCTTGCATTTCCCTAAGTATTTCTACTTTTCCTATCTCAGCCCAATCACTGCTTTGTGTAACCCCTTCCTCACTTTCCTGGGGTCTCAAAAACATTTGCTCAATGAAAGAGACTCTGGAGTCTCAATAAATATTTGTTAGATGAATGGATACACAAATGAAAGTCTGGATCTAAAGCCCACATTATTTCCACAATACCCACTATGCTCATACTGCCAGTATTTTATGCAAGTCCATGATTCATGTGAAAGGGGTAAGCCAGAGAAACCTTTGCTCAACAGCAAGAAAATAGCTGTGCACAGGTAGGCAGTTATTACATCATTTATTTTTATGATAAATATGCTAAGTAGGTACTCAACCCATATTTGCTGATTTGTTCATTAAGGTAAAGTTGCAATTATGCTCTATTTAACCATAAAAAGCTCCATTTGTATAGGCAATTTACAGCTTGCCTCGTACTTAGCATAGCACATTGAGACCTTGTAAAGGTCCTATGACCTGGTTATGACGTGGTTATTAATACAACAGATCCCTGACTGTCATTGTTTCAACTAAGCATTTTATCAATGCACCAGTGACTCAGACAGTACAAAACTTTGTCATTCATAATTTTGCTGAGACGAGATCTTGAAACTCATGTTTCAGTCATGTAACTAGTCAGTTAAGCCTCAAAAACCATTTAAGATGCTCATGCTGTTACAGCCTTGTTTTCTTTATAAAAAGGAAATATAAGCAAAATGCTGGTGAGTAAGTAAAGAGAAAGTATCCAGAAAGCAATGGTTCTTTGTTGTTGGGAAATGACAGGCTATAGTGATACTTAAAAAACCCCTTTAGCTATCTTTTCACCACCTCAGAATAGTGCCAGGGTCAAAAGAACATAGTCAATAATGAAAAGATAAAGTCATTATTTTCCCTAAATTTTGTGAACAGGTTATAAACCTTCTTAATCTCTCTTTTTTTCTTTCATCACATTCTTTCACAATCACAGCTACTCCCACACTTGATATCTCATTCTTTTCCTGACTGCACACCTACCCAGTCCAGGGTGTCTTTGCCTGGGACTTTCTTTCTCTTCCCATTTTGTCTGGGTTCTGCTTTAAAGTCCAGAATATGAGATTGTGAAGTTGCAAACTCTTGGAAGTTTGGTAAGCAGGAGAGGGGAAGATATTTTATGAGCTCGTCCAGGATTCTCCTATAATGCACAGAGAAGGTCTCTGCATATTCTAGGGCATTCTCACAATAATTTGCCCCATTACCCATGAGTTTTGACTTACAGAAAATTGAATATTTTCTTGGTGAATGCTGAGTGTTTTACAATGAATAGTCCACATGCTTAGCAGATAAAAGTATGCTCAGAAAGTCTGACCCTGCTTTCCTTTCATGTTACTGATAACTTTGTGACCTCCTCGTAGCAGGGGTAGAAAAGAGAATTACCTTGACTCACTTTGTCCTTTTCTTACTTTTGACTTAACTTTTGACCTTGACCTTGCTGAAAACCCAGGCTGTGCTTCTATACGTTGCCTCCCATTTTTCACCCAAGTGCTCTTTCTAAATGTACCCAAAGCCCTCCCTGGCTTTTATCTTTGCTGCTACTGGATCAAGAATGTCATCTCATCATGAATGCTCCAACTCTGTGATCAAGAACGCCTGGTGCTGTATGTCCAAGATTCACAGCTAGCAGAATGCAAAGTCAAAGCTTGAACTCAGTCGTAGGTGTTCACCAGAATATCCGGGCAGGTTATTTCATGAGCTCTTAGACCAAACAAAATTGTGAGGTGAGTCAATTTGATCTTTAGGTGTTTGTGTGGCAGGTTTTTTTGCTTTTGCTTTCTCTTTCGTCATCAACTTGTGCCTCTGATTTTCTCTCTCTTTCGTGATATTAAACTTAATACTGCCAGCCATTTGCACAGGATTGCACAGCATAGCCTTTCTTATTCTGTCCCCAATTATGCCACATGCTGAGAGACTTGACTCTTTCACCCAAGGTGCTTCATTCTTTCTGCACAGGAGTGGGGAGGCAGACTGAGAGTGGATTTTGGAGTCAGGTAGCCCAGAATTTGACTTCCAGCTCTATTTTGTGCTGGCTTTTGAGGAATAAACCCAAGTCTGTGTTTGAGTCCATTATGTACTAGATGTCTGGGTTCACTCAGCTTACCTCTCACTACTACCCCATCCCTGTTACTTAGAAGCAAATACGTATGCCAATCTCTACCAGGTGTTAAATTTTTTCCATAACTTAACACTATTTACCATGTAACTGAAAGTCTAGGAAGCTCCAATAAAGAGGACTCTGTTATAGTCAGAGATTTCCAATACACTTTTCTACAATGACAGAAATGTTCTCTCTGTACTGTCCAGCCAGTGTCCATGGGCCATGTGTCAGCTGAGCACTTGATATGTGGCTATTCCAACTAAGAAATTGAATTTTTACATTTAGTTTAACATTATTTTAAATTTAAATCTCACTAGACACATGTGGATAGGGCTACTATAGTGGATAGCATAGTCTTAAATGATGAAATTTCAGACATTATGACAGGTTTGTGGAACAAATATTTATGTGAATGGGCAATTTTCTAGCACTGTTTAACTCCTGGAAATTGTATCCACTCTGCCTATTTCTTCAGCTTATCCATTCTATATGACTACATAATTCCAAAGTTTTTGTGCCTAGGTATGCATAAGGTTATTATTGCTATCCATTTTTAAATATGTCTTTATTATTTTCCATTTATCTAGATTGCTCTTTTATTTTACTTTGTTCAAGGCAGATGCTAAAATGAACTCAGGAGAAAAGACAATTTAGAGTCATCATTAATTTCATTTAGCAGGTTGTCTTCTCAGCCCCAACCACTACTTCTTTCTCCTTTTAATAAATGCAGTTTCATCCACTGAATCCTCTTGGGGTAGGTTTAACTCACGATTGATGGTCTGATCTCCGTCCTTTATTAAGTCAGAATCCTGCAATTTGGAAGTTTTCCCTGGTGGAACATTTGCTTTGAAAAAGAGATGTAACTCCTGTATTTCTTCTACTTGGATGGGGCATCATTTTATAAATTACCGTTAAGAGTTCATGTATGAAAGTCCAAATAAACACTGGAAAAAAATAAATCAACTTCATTGGATTTTCCATACATACATTTTGGCAGGGCTATGCATGGCTTGCCTTATAAGATAGTGAGTTGCTTATCACTAG